CGTGGGTATGTCTGTCCCGGGCTCGACCGGTGCCTCGCCGCCGCCCCCGCCGTGCTGAGCTCCGCGCCGCCCGCCCGGCTCTACGCTGCGGCAGCCAAGTGAGTGCGTCTCCTCCCGTCCGAAGCCGCCGCTGTCCCGGTGTGTCCGTCGGGTGTCCCGGTGCTGGTGGGGGAGTGGGAGTGTGGGAGTTTTTTCGATGTCTGTGGTGTTGTTCCAACAGCCGAGCTGGCTTTGGTGACATCCTGCAAGCTGCTAGCTCTTAGAGAAACAGCCTGGAGAAAGAAGGTTGAAGCTGGATTTGCAGGGAGTGTTTTCTCTTACTCTTGTAATAATGAACGTAACAGTTACAGGGAAAGATTTACTTCATCTTTCTGATGTGTGCTTTTGGAGGGTATGGCTGGATTGCAGCTAAAAGAGTATTATGAACCTGAAAGCTGGTGAGCTTATGGAATCGGTTTCAAACAGTTTTTCTTCTTGCTTCAGGTTGCTTTTTAGTTGTTTAATTCGTTGTCTCTTCAATATTATGGCGAAGTGGGAGAAGTAAAAATGACCTCTGTGCACAGAACATTGAAGCGTGCTGTGCACACAGTGTTATGAAATGTTGCAGACACTTTCTCCATAGTTAATAAAGGAATTTAATACCCAGCTATTACTTTTTAGTTTTTTTTTCCTTGATTTGAGAGAGAAAATAATTTTAGAGATAAAATCGTTCTCCTATTTATTTTCAAATCTATTCCTTTGAAAATAGATAGGAGAATAAGGATTTGGGCTGGTGTTTGTTAACTGCATGTAAAATGATACAGGAAAGGGAGGAGAAACCTTTTTTGAATGGTGGGACAACCATGATTCACTAGAAGAAGAAGAAAAACCCTGCAGATCTGGCTTCTTCTGCTTACCAGGAAGGTGTGTGGGATTTGCTTGATTTAGAAGCAGCCCGGGCACGATGCCCACTACCAGCCCATGTGAAGGCAAGACCTGTAGAAGTTGGAGTGTTATCTTGAACTGGTTTTGTGTTGATGCAGGAGGAGGTCATTATTTTGGTTCCGTGCTGCACAAATGTGGCTGTGTTGTTTGAGGAGCTTAATTGCTTTCACTTCTTTTGATTTTGATAATTTTGATTTCTGAGCATTTGTTTTCTGCCTTGGCCACCTGAGACAAGTAACTGGGATGAATTTAGGGATACTGCTCATCTTCGTGTAGAGCCTTCATTGTTAACTAATCATTACTAGTAAGTGACACATGACAGTATCTACATTTTTTCTCTTGGAACATGTGCCAAACCGATGATCTAACAATATTTTTTTGTTTGTCTTAGAACTGCAAAAAAAGGTTCACAAAAAAACAAGCAGGAAGAAACAAAAAAGAAACAAGTCACTAGGAGGCGGCCGCTGATGAGCAAGCCCGTGGATGACGTGTACCTGACGTGGTATTACGAGCGGCCGTCCTATGATGTGGAAGAGGCTGTGGGTATGCTAAAGAAATTTCAGGAACTGGACTTCACTCACCCCAAACAGTATGTCTATATTAACGTGTTCCTAGATATGGCACTAGAGAAGAAGGTAGGTTGGAAGTGTATACTAATTTTGATCCTTTTTGTTTTTTTTTAACGTGGGAAGGCAGTGTTTTAAGTGCAGAGCAGATGCTGCTGTCGGCCTTCTCGGCTGCCTCATGCAGCTTCTCTCGTTGTCAGAATAATGTGTGCTTTTGCAGGTGGCTTTATGCCTTAATACATGTGTAATTATTAAACACCCCCCATACTCCTGAGGCCAGGCTGGATGAGACTTTGAGCAACCTGGTCTAGTGGAAGGTGTCCCTGCTGATGGCAGGGGGGTTGGAACTAGATGATCTTTAAGGTCCCTTCCAATCCAAACCATTCTATGATTCTGTGATTCTATGAAGGTAGCACCATCGAGGGTTTTGAAAACAGGCTATTATGTGATTAAAATTCACATCTGGACAGAACTGATAAAAAGAAGCTTTACATCTGTTTGGGCTTTCCACTTAAAGATATGTTACCGAAATCACGTGCATGTTTTGTTCCAGGATGATTGTTACAGGGAGAATTGTAGAGACAAGCTTCTTTCTGCCTCTGTCCTTCACCCTGTTTTTATTTATTTATTTATTTGGTTAATAATATTCCTTGAAAGTATGCAATCACTTGTTTGCTTATGACATTTTTGGTTTCAAGTTGTCTATCCCAGTTTA